CCTGTTTTCATATTTCCATTCTTTTTGTGCGTCCTTTTCTTTCATTCCCAGTAATAAAAGGGTTTACTTGTCAGCAGTGATGAACGTTAGTGTGGCGTCCGGCGTTGGTTCCTTTGTAAGTAATTGGAGATAATTAAACATAAGAAACTGCCGATTTGTGCTGATGTTAATGCAGAAAAGAACGATGTGGTACTATAAAATATGTAGTTTGGCTTTAGGGGGAAACGTTAAAAGTTGATGTGTTTTCTCTCTAAATATTCTGAAAGTCGTTATTTAAAAGGCAGTTAAATTCAATGAAATTGAGCATCTTTATATGTAATACTATATGTAGGCACTGGTGAAATCCAAAAATGAGTTAAGAATCATGTGCAGGAAGGAGAGAAGTTAAGGACACTAATAATGATACGAGGCAGAATAAAGTACATTATTAACAGAGCTACTGTTGAGCACTTACTCTCAGATGGGCACTGTGGTAGGTACTTGCATATTTTACTTAATAACACTTGATTATTTAACACACACTTTAATATTTTATCATGAAACTTTTTTGAATGATAGTGTGGACATAGTATGTGCTATGTTCTAAGAGGTACAGATATGGAATTAGACCATACTTTCAGACTACAAAGTGTCATTGGGCAAAACATATTAAATAATCACACAAATAAATGTTAATGAACCAAGGTAGACAGGAAGAATGTACACTGTTTGGGAGAGAATGTAACTACTGGACTTATCCCAGCTGGAGAAAATAGGTAAGGTTTTCCTAGGAAACCTTTGAGCTGAGATATTATGGTTAAATATGAATTAGGTGAAGATAACTCCCAAAGGAGAGAAGAAAGGTCCAGGCAGATAGAATAGATTGCACAGAGGCTAGCGACTGTCGTCATTTCAGGAACGTTGCCATTTGGAGTGTGAAAAAACGAAAGTGGGCTGTGGTAAAGTAAGTTAGGGCCAAGGAGATGATGCAGTGCCTTTTAAACAGCGTTAAAGATTTGGGGACCAACTTTTTCTTATCTTTTTTTTTCTTTTTTTAACTCTTAGAAACCACTCAAATATATAGAGAGAACAGTCCAATGAACTTTCCTGTAATAGTACCCAAAGGATTTGGACCTTATTATTCTAAGAGCAAAAGGGTTGTAACTGGCTCAATGAACAAATTTCAGTGATCCTGATGTGGGTTTTTTTGTATTTATTCATTTAGAGACAGTCTCAAGCTATCACCCTGGGTAGAGTGCCATGGAGTCACAGCTCCAACCAACCTCTCCAACTCTTGAGCTTAAGGGATTCTCTTGCCCCAGCCTCTCAAGTGGCCGGGGTTAGGTTTGAACCGGCCACACTCGGTATATGGGGCCAGAGCCCTACCCACTGAGCCATAGGCACTGCCCTCTTTTTTAAATTTTTTTTTATTAAACTGTAGCTTTGTACAATAATACATTTATGGGGTACACTGTGCTGGTTTTGTATACAATTTGAAATACAACAAACTGGTTAACATTGTCTTCACCTCACTTAATTATTGTCTTAAGACATTTATAGGCTCGACGCCTGTGGCTCAAGTGGCTAAGGAGCCAGCCACATATACCTAAGG